ACGTCTTTTAATTTCCTGGCTGCTGGTGCTAAGAGTGTTGTCTGTGGAGCTAAGCAAACTAAAGTTGTGAATAATCTCAGTCTCTTCACTATCTATCCTGATGTTGCCAGTTGGCCCAGTGGTGAGAATCTTTGGTTTAGTTTCAAATTTATTATAGAGATTCTTCTTTCCTCACCAAATGGACTTAGTCCTTGACAAAAATCAGTTCACTATAGGTGTGTGGATATCATTGCTGATGTCAGATGGATGTTGGCTGAAAGCTGAGAATACTAGAATAATATCTACCTGTGATTTATTGACTATACAAAGGCATTTAAAAGTGAATACTAAAAAACTATGGCTAATGTTGAAAATAATGAGAACCTCAGAATAATTAAATATGCTCATACAAAATCTATACTAGACAAAGAAATTGCTGCCTTACCAGAGTAAGGGAACAGTGGTGCATGGTTTAAAATGAAGAAAGGTGTGTGTCAGGGCTGTATCTTTTCTCTAGACCTATTCAATTTTCTTCATACCTATTCAATGCCAAACAAATAATTTGAGAAGCTGGACTATATAAAAAGAATGTGGCATCAGGACTGGAGGAAGACTCATCCCCAATATGCATTATGCAGATGACACACACATCATTGTCTGCTTAGAGCAAGGAGAACTTGAGGTGTTTGCTGTAGAAGATCAAGGCCTACAGTCTTCAATATGGATCCCATCTCAACAGCAAAGAAACAAAAAGTCCTCACTACTGGGCCAACAGGCAACATGCTCATGAATGGAGAAAAGATTGAAATTGCCAGTGATTTAATCTTGCTTGAGTCCACAATCAATACTGTAGGTACCAACAGTCAGGAGGAGATCAGGATAGGGAAAATCTGCTGTCAGGGGCCTCACGAAAGTTCTAAAGAGCAATTATGTTTGAAGACTGAGATGCAATTGATTCAAGTCATGGTCTTTCCAATCACCTGTTATGCATGAATAAGGATGAAAGAAGAATAAACGATGCCTTTGAGTTTTTGTGTTGGAGAAGAGTATTCAGTATATCCTACAGACTTCCAAAAGAAGAAACTAGTATGTTGGAGAAAGTACAACCAGAATGCTCTGTACAGGCAAGGATGGGGAAGCTTCATTTCACATACTTTGGGCATGTTGGGGCTACTGCTTGGAAAGGAAACTCATTCTTGGAAAGGAGAAATAGATTTTTTCCTTTTTAAAATTAATTTTAATGAGTTTACAGAGACTTAGGGTTTCTAGTCATTCATTGTTGTACTTTTCTCCCTGCCCACCCCCTACCCTCATTCACTCTTCTCCTTGAAAAGTAAAATTAAACTCTTTCATTGTTATGCAGTCCCTCCCCCAAGTCCACTACAGTGTGCTGCCTTCATCCTGGACTCCTATCATGACAATAATATCCAATCACATATCCCTTTTAAACAGTTCTCTCCCTCATCTGTTTCAATTCAGTATCCATCATTCCTCCCCGCCTTCTCTGTCTTCCTTCAACCTCGATGTCAGTCCTATTTTACAAGAAAGGCGTATGCAGTATTTGTCCTTTTGCGACTGAGATATTTCACTCAGCATAATTTCCTCTAGGGTCATCCACTTTGCATAATATTTTATGAGTTCCTTGTTTTTCAGTGCTGCATAGTATTCCATTGTG